TTTTTTGAGATAGGCTTTCTCTGTAGTCCTGGCTTCCTAGATCTCATTCTGTAGACCAGGCTGGCCTCAAATTCACAGAGATCTGCCTGTCTCTGCCTCCCGAGTGCTGGGATTGAAGATGTGTGCCACCACTGCTGGCTTTTCTTTCTTTTTTTGAGCCAGGGTCTCAGGTAGCCCAGGCTGGCCTTGACCTTGCTGTCAGTGGATGATCTCGAGCTCCTGATTTTCCACCCTTCACTTCCCAAGTTCTGAGATTTTAGGTCTATGCTGCCACGTCTGTTTTACAGGATTGTTTTAGCTAAAGTTTCTATTGCTGTGAAGAGACACCATGACCACGGCAACTCTTATAAAGGAAAACATTTGATGGGGCTGACTTACAGTTTCAGAGATTCAGTTCATTCTCATCACGGTGCAACATGGTGGCATGCAGGCGACATGGTGCTGGAGAGGGAACTGTGAGACCTGCATCTTGACCCACAGTCACAGGAAGTGACCTGTTTCACTAGGGCGGCTTGAGCATATATGAGACCTCAAAGCCTGCCTCCACAATGACACACGTCCTCCAACAAGACCACACCTCTTCCAACAAGGCCACACCTCCCAATAGTGCCCTTTGGGGGCTATTTTCTCTCAAACCACCAGAAAAGGATACTACTCTGTTTTTCTTCCTATATAATATTCATTTTCGTAGTCACTGTCTTCTCTCCTTCCTCCTTCCTTTCTCTCTTTTTGATTGTATGTGCATGTAGGTAAGGGTACATGTTTATATGCAGACCATTTGACACGTTCCACTGTGTATACGTGTGTTTGTGGGTTTTTTTTTTTTTTTTTTTAGGAGAAAGGGTTTCTCTGTGTCCTGGCTGTCCTAGAACTAGCTCTGTAGACTAGGCTGGCCTCGAACTCAAAGATCTGCCTGTCTTTGCCTCCTAAATGCTAGAATTAAAGGCATGTGCTATCACTGCCCAGCTCTTTGCATGTAAGCAAAGTTTTCAAACAAAGTTTCTTTTATGAAACTTGAACTCACCAATTAATAGACCGACTGACCAGTGAGCCTCAGGGAACCACCACCATGTCCAGCTTTTTACATGGGTCCTGGAGTTCCAAACTCAGGTCCTCGCTGGGCATTGGTGGTGTATGCCACCTTTTATCCCAGTACTTGGGAGGCAGAGGCAAGCAGATCTCTGTGAATTCAAGGCCAGTTTGGTCTACAAGAGCTAGTTCCAGGACAGGCTCCAAAGCTACACAGAGAAACCCTGTCTTGGAAAAAAAAAAACCCACAAAACAACAAACAAACTCAGGTGCTCATGTTTGCGTGGAAGCACTTTACCCACTGAGCCATGTCCTCAGCTCCAGGCATTCATCCCCCTGGCAGCAGGGTCTACACTATGTAGTCCTGACTCTGTATTCTCCCTCTAAGAGTATTTTGCCCACACATATGTCTTCGTACCATCTGTGTTCCTGGTGCTCAGGGAGGCCAGAGGAATTGGACTTACAGATGATTCTGAGCCCCATGTGAGTGCTGAGATTTGAACTTGGGTCCTCTGAAAGAAAGCAAATGCTTTTAACTCCTGAGCCATCTCTCCAGCCCCTAGACTTTTTGCAATCTAACTCCTCCTGCTTCCATCCCCCAAGTGCTGGAATTCCACAAGCCACCACACACATCATCCCTTTTAAGGGTAAAATCTTAGTATAAGCCCATGGCTTTCTGTAACATGTACTAAATTACGTCACCCAGTCCCTACTGTAACAAGAACACCCATCTAACTATGACCGACCATTGATCCCAGTTCCCATTCCTGCTCCATCTCAAGATTTTGAATCCCGAATCGGATTGTTCCGTGGCAGAAACATTCATATTGGCATTCACTCAAAGGCTGAGTATCTCCAGCTCTGTAACATCCTTGATTCTAGTTCCAAGTTTATTTCTCTAAATTTCCCATCATTTCTGAGAGCCACACATCTTTCCAATAAATTCTCTTTTTGCTTACATTAGCTGAGTCAGTTCTTTGGCTTGGAACCAAAACAAAACAAAAAAAAAAAAAATCCAGAGCAGACACACGGATGCCATCTTCCTCCCGCCTCGCCTCTCCTCTCTCAATACTGAAATCTCCTAGCTCTCAAGAGGCAGTGCCCACACACTTCAGCCCCAGAATAAGCATCTTCTTCTTTCTACAGCTTCTCTGCCTCTCTCACCATCATCAAGGACTGATACACACTGAATGTTAACTTGTATTGTAGTTACACGTTTGCATTCCTGTCTCCCACAAGATCCTCAGGGGTTTCGTTTGTCTTCGAGGAGGACCCTGCAGCGCCCACCACTGATGGACTGAACGCAGGTCATCAGACGTGGTAGTAAGCACCTTTACCTGCTGAGCCATCTATACCCAGTCCTCTTTCTTTTTTTTCTCTTTTTAATTCAGCATACAGCAGGAAAACAAGGTGTGGGGGCTGGAGAGATGGAGCAGCAGTTAAGAATACTGGCTGCTCTTCCAGAGGACCTGAGTTTGATTTCCAGAATCCACACGGTGGCTCACAAGCATCTATAACTCCAGTCCTAGGAGATCCCGTGCTCTTTTCTGGCCCCCATGGGCACCACATGCATGTGGAGCACTGACATGCGTGCATGCAAAATACTCCTACACATAAAAATAAACACGTAATTTAAAAAGCTAAACAGTAGCCAGAGTCCCACCCGCAGCCCACTTCTCTCTCTTTTTGGTGCCGAACAATTTTAATTCTTAACGCCCCCTCCCCCTTCTTTTCGTGATGAACTAGTGACAACTAGTGTAAACAGTTGATGAGAATCCTCTGACTACAAACGAGAGGCCAGGAAGTGAAGCCCAGGGCTCTGATGCCTCCACAGTACATCAGTAGCCTCAGTGACTACTTCTGCATTCTGGAGTCCTCAAATTCCCCCACGGGCCTCACTATTTACAGCTTGAAAGCCACCTGACAAGTAAATACTAAGAACTGTGCGTAAGGACTCTGTAATAAAAACAAACCAAGGCAGACACAACCTGTTCCAGGAAGGGAGAGGAAAGAAGGAGGGGCTTCTCTCTTTGTGTCACTTGTTGCGCTGCTATCCATACATTGCTTTATTAATTTTCTTCTTTGACAGTTCCATACGTGTATATTCTGATTAATACCCCCATATTCCCCACAGACTCTCTCATCTCCCTCCCCTCATCGAGTACCTCCTCCTCTCTACCAGTGCCTTTCACAGACTCATGACTTCTGGTGGGTTTTTTTTTTTTTTTTTTTAGACCCATTTAGTTGAACCAGGGGCCAACTTCATGACCACTGAATTGGAACTGCCCACCAGAGTCTGGTGCGGTCACTAGCAGGTATACAGCTAACAACAATGATTTCCTGCTTCATGAATCTATCAGTGGTTGTAGGCCCCTGAGGCCCTCTTCCTCCCAAGCTTGACTGACTGGTGCATTCTTGTGCAGTCATCTACAGATGTGAGTTTGTTTTGCAATGGCTGTCTTGCCCAGAAAGTGATATTTGTAGCCCTTCTGTCTCTGGCTCTTTGTTGTTGCTTTTTGTTGTTTTGTTTTGATTTTTAAGACAGGGTTTCTCTGTGTAACCATCTCCAGCTGTCCTGGGACTCACTCTATAAACCAGGCTGGCCTCAAACTTCCAGAAATCTGCCTGCCTCTACCACCCTAGTGCTGGGATTAGAGGCATGAACCACCACCACGCGGCTCTTGATCTTTTTCTACCTTCTATTCTGCAATGCTCTCTGAGCCTTAGAGGAAAAGGTAGAAATGTCTTAGTTAGGGCTGGGATCCAGTGCCCTCCTCTGGCTTCTGAGCATACATGGTACACAGATGCAGGCAAAACATTCATGCACATAAGTAAAAATTAAAATTTTCATTTGAAAGTCCTTTCACCTCTTTTTTTGAAATTTTATTCATTTCTATTTTATGTATGAGTGCTCTGCATACATAACTGCTGTCAGAAGAGGGCGCCAGATCTCATTACAGATGGTTGTGAGCCACCCTGTGGGTGCTGAGAATTGAACTCAGAACCTATAGAAGAGCTGCCAAGTGCTCTTAACCACTGAGCCACCTCTCCAGCCCTAGAATTTCTTCTTCATTTAAGAGCATTTCATTTAGTCTTCTTTGTTGCTGAGATGGATTTCCTGTGCCCAGGCAGGCATTCACTACAGAGCTGAGAATGACTTTAAATTTTAGATCCCCCTGCTTGCTTCTTCCTCTTAAGTGCTAAGATTACAGGAGTGGGCCACTACACCCTGCTTTGGGTCTGGAATCTGAGAGTGACCACCAATTCCTTTATTAACACTCATAAAACAACTGGTTGTCCAATTACGTTGATGATCATGGACTATCCCCACATCCCCAAGGTGCAGTAACATCCTGTAACAGGTGGGAGAGAGATTTGAAAAATTAATGAAGCAGGGTCTCCCATAGAGCCTAGGCTGGCCTCAAACTGCTAGCCTCCTGCCTCACCTCCCAAGGGCAGGGATCACAGGTGCGCACCACGCGTCCTCCGGCCAGAGTAGCGCTGGGATCACAGGTGGTGCTGGGATCACAGGTGTGCACCACCGTGTCCGGCTAGATTAGCGATTGAATCACAGGTGTGCACCTGTGTCTAGCTAGAATACAGATTTCTAAACAAGACTCCAGATCTAGGCATTCAGATATTACTCTAAAATTTCCACACTGTCACACAAAAAGGGAAAAAGAGATGATCCTGATGCCAAAACAAGTTTATTGGTTGTTTTACATACATGTGTGATTTCTGAGCACTCAACACAAAATGCCCTCCTTGCAAGCTGTTTTTCTTCACTCTAAGGAAATGTGACAGCTCTATGCAAACCCAATTGACTCAAATGTTACTTTTCCACAAAGGGATTAACAAAGAAGCCAGCGCACCCTGCTTTGTTAGGAAAATGAACAAAACCTCAAGGCTAATGAGATTTAGAGAAAATTGAGAGACTGAACCTTATAATGACATTACTTATTCTCAGGCTAGAATACAATACACAAAAATTCACAATTCAAGTAATATTTTAAGGAGAAAAGTACTGGTGAAGTTGGATGATATACATTTTTTAAACTATAAGTAAGGGTTTTTATATTTACTTCACTTTAAAGGCCAAAAAAAACCAAACCAAACCCAAGCAAACAGATAAAAATACAACTTTTTTTTTTCGGTGATGTTGCAGACTGAACCCATGGCCTGTGCAGGCTGCACCAGCCCCAGCACCCGCAGGAGCTGTCCACAATGTTCCTAAACTAGATCCTTCCAGATACTGAGCCCAAGCGTTGTTCACTTCTCCAGATTCTCTAAAGCTGAATTATGAGAGGTAATCACTCAGGCTCCTGGGAACATTTCTATATATATCGACGGAATCAGAAGTTTGATATGGTCCATTATTTCACTTTTTCCTCCCACCTGAATCCAGACACCAGGATGACACACTAAACCAAAGGCCCTTTTCCCAGAAGCCTGTGGCAGAGACCTAACCGCCCTACCCCAGGAGAAACGAATAGGAACTCTGCTGGCAGGGTAGAGGAGTCCCTTCATGAACTCAGCAAGAAACCTTAACTCCTAAAACAGATTTGGAGATGGACTTATCCATGGATCTGTCTTCTCCAGGGCTGGGCAGGGTGGAAGTGTAGAACCCACAGGCTCTCCAGAAAGATGGAAGGGGTCACTTGGTGCCACCCAGGTTTCCTGAGGAAGAGAAGGAGACACCAAAGTGTCTTCATCTGAGCTTCTTACAGCTTTCTTACTGTCTACCATTAGCAACTGTTCTATCTCCTCTTTCAAAGAAAAATGTGCCTGGGACTCATGCGTGGGAGTCAGGGAGTGAGTTCTCTGGGTTCTGGGGTCTTCTGGCCCTGCTGGCTTGTTTTCGGACTCCTCGCTGGCTTTGGCCTCCTTCATGGGAGGCAGATTATGAGACTTTGCTCTAGTCTGTTTACATTCTTTATCCAAAAAATTCTCATCCTTATCAGATTCATGACATAGAAAACGTGGAGCTTTGTCTATGCCAGAAGTTTTACAAAATAAAAAGCCTTTGATCTGGTCGTCTTTCCCTGCTGTGCGACCCCCTGGCTTCTTTGGCTGCAGCCCCGTTCTGATGAGGAGGCCCTGCGCATTCACTCTGTACTCCTTTGCAGCTGCCTCTCGGCGCTGCTTCTGGAAGTCCTTGAGTTGAAGTAGCTCCTCGGGCAGCTCCATACACGCAGGCTAGGAAAGAAACAAGCACAGGTTTACAAAGATGCCCCAACAAGGTCCCTAAAGTGAGTTCATCCAAATGCGCTCCAGCAGTGCCCTCTAGTGTTTCAAACAGAATGCTAGTTTCAAATTTGGATTGTTTGGAGAAATTTAAATATTTAGTATTTGTGTGTGTGTGTGTGTAAACATAGGAAGCATAAGTTTCCCAGCCTGGCTTAGGTTGATTTAGAAGGTGCGCCCTCTGAAAAGCTGTAACATCCAGGTACAGTCGGTGTATGTGTGATCTCAGGTGTGTGTGTGTGTGTCTGGCTCTGTAAACGGCTGTCTGCACTGATGACGATCCATGTGTGTGGTGACTGGAATATCACCCAGGCTTTGTACAGTGCAGACAAGTGCTCTACAGTGGCCAACATCCCAAGTCCTAGATTACATGTCAACCCCCTCAAGTATGAATTTTTATAAGTTTCTAAAATTAATCTGCCCAAATGGTAACATAGTTTTATATAGTTCTTCAGTATCATTTTTAGGGAGGCAGGGTCTCACCGTGTAACCCATCCTTGCCTGGAACTCACCATACCCTGACCTTAGCCTAGAATTACAAGTGTGTACTGTGATAGCATATGCGTATATTTTGGGGTAATTTGTGGCTGTCTGTTTTAAGACAGGGTCTCATGTGGCTCAGGCTGGCACAGAATTCATTATATTGCTCCACATGACATTCAAATTGATTTTTCTGTGTACTGGGATTACAGGTGTGAGCACCATGCCCACTTTATGTGGTTGTAGGGATCAAATTCAGGACGTTATGCATACTAGGCAATACTCTACCAAATGATATACCCCCAGCTCTACTATCATATTATTTTTAATTTAAAAATCTGTTTTAGTCTAGCAGTGGCAGAGCATGCCTTTAATCCCAGCACTCAGGAGGCAGAGGCAGGTGGATCTCTGAGTTCAAGGCCAGTCTGGTCTACACAGTGAGTGCAGAACAGCCAGGGTTACACAGAGAAACCCTATCTCGAAATACCAGAGGGGGGGAGTAAAGTGCAGAACAGCAGACGAAAATACATGTTGATCTCTGGCCTCCATAATCTCAAACATAGGCTAGCACTCCACATATGAGTACAAATAGGAATACAGTACACAGACATGCATGCACACAACACAGACAGACACAGACACACACAGCATGTATGAACTGCAATGTGGTGGTACATGCTTGTAATCCTAGCAGTTGAAAAGCGGGGGGCAGGAGGATCAGGAGTTCATCTTCAGATACATAGTAAATTCAAGGTCAATCCTGGATATTTAAGACATTGTTGAAAAAACAAAACAAGGAGCAGGAAAAAAAAGGTCCATTGGTTAAGAGTAACTGTTGCTCTTTTGGAGGACTGGGGGTTTGGTTTCTAGCACCTACCTGATGGCTCACAGCTAGCCATTAACTCCAGTTTCTGGGGATCTGGCGCCCTCTGCTGGCCTCCATCCATACTCCCTCATGCACATGCATAAACACATGCAGACAGAGTCACAAAACAATATATATTTAAAGGCAAGAAGAGGGGGACCTAGGTTGTAGCTCAGTTGGCAGAATACTTGCCTAGCATGAATAAAGCCCCGAGTTTGCTATGAAGCATTACAAAAACAGGGCATAGCGGCACAGGCCTGCGACCCAGCACTGGGCAGGTAAAGGCAGAAAGATCAGGAAGTTACATAGCAAGTTTGAGGAAAGCTGAGGATACATCAGTCTCTGTTGTAGGAAAAAAAAAAAAGATTTACCACAAGGCTCTCCCAAGACAGATGCAAAGAGTAGAGAGCGTGAAGTAGACAGTGGAAAGAGTAGACACCACAGCCAAATCTGGTGTCCCAGGACTGTAATCCAGCTGCTCAGAAGGAGGCAGGACAGAGATCAAGGCCATCCTAGACAACTCGGTCAGACCTTTATCTTAAAACAAAAAGTTTAGGAAGGGTTATGCATGTACTTCATTAGTACAGAGTTTGCTGAGAATGTATGAGGTCCTGCGTTTGATCTCCAGCACTACAAACACATACACACACAGGGAGTTGCCACAGCAACAGTGGATAGCACTTTGTTCAATGCAAGGAAGACACAGAGAATACAACTACACCACAGAAAGCTGCACCTACCTCGGTGCCTGCAAGCCGGTCTGCAGAACCTTCTCGATAGGTGTTTAGGTACCCGTCTACTAGTGTGGTTAAATCTAACATCATCTCATCCAAGAGCACCAAGCGGAGGGGAAGCAAGTAGGTTGTTTCCAGGGCCAAGATTTTCAATAAAGGGGGTGGAAGAGGCCGTGTCAGCCATACTTCTGGATTTTCCTAGAGAAAACAAAACCATTTTTCCCCCCAGAGATAAGATTTCTTTGTGTAACAGCTCTGGCTGTCCTGGAACTCGCTTTGCAGACCAGGCCGGCCTCAAACTTACAGAGATCCGCCTCCTGAGTGCTGGGATTAAAGGTGTGCAATACCACCGCCAAGCAATTCTTAATTAATGACAAGTAAAATTTAGGCAGGTGGTGAGGTGCAAGTTCCAGGACAGCTAGGGCTATACAGTGAGACCCTGTCTTGAAAACACAAAAACAAAAATCAAACTTAATTTAAAGCACTGCCATTAAGCCAGGGTGGTGGTGGCGGCACATTTAATCCCAGCACTTAGGCAGATCTCTGTGTGAGACTGAGGCCAGCCTGGTCTACAGAGCGAGTTCCAGGACAGGTTCCAAAGTTACACAGAGAAACCCTGTCTTGAAAAATCAAAAGAAAAAAAATTAAGAGTTACTGTGGTCATGTGGTCATAGTGTTTCTTCACAGCAATTCTATGAGTTCAAGGCCAGCCTGGTCTACAGAGAAAGTTTCAGAACAGCTAAGCTTAGGCAGTGAAGGAAACTACCAAAAACAGAAAGCTTGTGACGATGTAATTGGATGAAGGGGCCATGTTCCAGCCCCAGGAAACTGCAGGACTTGGCAGCTTTGGCCATGCGGTTCTAGCTTCAAGGATAGAAGAAAGGATCATGGAATCTCCCTCTGCGACTACGGAAAGCTGCCAAGGCCAGGCCTGTGTCAGCAGTGTCCCTGAATGGAGGCCTGGAGACCACTGCGTGCCGCTGTGAAGGTGTTGGAGATAACAGAACTGTGCGATCCATACCTGTGGAGAGCTGCAACAGGGAGAGGAACAAGCCCAAGAGGAAGAAGAATGCTGCAGCTCACAAGGACGAAAGGAGTCAGAGATCTGAAGAGCGTTCTGGCATCAGATGTGAAGATGCAGGGTTTAGAGTTTGCCCAGCTGGTTTTTGGTCTCGCTTTGGTCCAGTGTTTTTCACTGTGCTCCCTTTGCCTGTAATGTATATCCTGTGCCATTTTATGTTGGAAGTATGTGATCTGCTTATTGACTTTGATTTTATAGGCAATTAAGAGACTGCATGAATCTCAGAAGAGACTTTGGACTTTAGACTTTTAAATAAGTTTGAGATTGTTATGGATACGGGGACTTTTGAAGTTGGACTGAATGCATTTTTGCATTATGATATGGCTACAAGCCTTTGGTGACTAGGGAGTGAAATATGGTTTGAAAGAAAATGTCCCCCAAAGGGAGTGGCACTATTAGGAAGTGTGGCCTTGGTGGAGTATGTGTGGTCTTGTCAGAGGAAGTGTCTGACCATGGAGGCAGGCTTTGAGGTTCAAGCCATGTCCAGTGTCAAAGTTTACTTCCTGTTGCCTGCAAGATGTAGAACTCTCAGCTACTTCTCCAGCATCATGTCTGCCATGATGATAATGGACCAAACTACTAAAAATGACCAGGACACTGGTGGTGCACGTCTTTAATCCCAGCTCTTGGGAGGCAGAGGCAGGAGGCATCTCCATGAGTTCAAGGCCAGCCTGGTCTACAAAGCTAGTTCCAGGACTGCCACAGAGGTTACACAGAGAAATCCTGTCTTTAGAAACTTAAAAAAAAAAAAATAAGCCACCCCATTAAATGATTCCTTTATAGGAGTTGCTGTGGTCATGTGGTCATGGTGTCTCATCACAACAATAGAACCCTAAAACATGCACTAAGGAAAATTTACATAGCTTTGGGGAAAGCAACTAAGATGATTTTGGTTCTAATGAATTCGAATTTCCATAAAAATCTCCCCCCATGCCAACTTGAAAATATATTTCAGAGTACTTTTAATCTATAATCAACAAATCTGAATTCTGTTTTTATCCACTTGAAACCACAAACTGTTCCTCAGTGGCACAGCTTAGATTCTGGCAACGCCCATTCTTACATGGCATCTCTCACTTTTCTTATCAAACAGGCTAACAGTCCTGTGCAGACCACACCTGCAAGCTTAAATGACACATCTTTTAATACTTACCTGAATAAATCTTTGTCTCTCTTCTAAAAAGGAGAGGTATTTGGGGGCAACTTTAAGGTGTCTGATTAAATTCTCCTGCAAAGTACTGATACAGTTTGGAAGGAAACCACCAGTTTCCATGGAAAACTGAAGGACATCTGCTACCTGAGGCATGAAACAGAAAACAATCAATCCCACATCTACAACAAACCAAGATTAATCAACACACAGAAACTATCTCTTGTCAGAAATACTCTGCGAGACTTCCCTGTAAGTGCTGGGATGTAGCTCTGCTGCTACCACGCTTGCCTAGCATGCCCTAGGCCCTGGGCTCCACCCCAGCAAGAACTAGACTTTCTGGTACAAGCCTGTAATCCCAGTTCTTGGGAGGCAGAGGCAAGAGGATCATCATCTAAGACATGGGAAATTGGAAGCCAGCCTGGACTACATGAGATGAGAAAGAGACAGAAACAGATAGACAGAGGCACAAAGATATATATATATATATATATATATATATATATATATATGTATGTATGTATGTATGTATATATATATATATATAGAGAGAGAGACAGAGAAGAGACAGAGACAGAGAGACAGAGACAGAGAGACAGAGAAGAGAGAGAGACAGAGAGACAGAGAAACAGACAGAGAGACAGAGAGACAGACAGAGAGACAGACAGACAGAGAGACAGATCTTAGATCTTTAAAAACCATTTTCCCAGAGGTCATGCCAAAAATGCCATAGGTAAATTTAAGTATGTCAGTCAATTTATTTTGAAAAAAACATAATAACCTAGGAGATAACACAGCTCTGCATGTTTTATCTTTCTGTTATTACACATTGGTGCCTTTAGAGAATGGGAAAACAAAAGAATTTAAGAATTTTTTCTTCAGATTAGAAAAAGTAAGTTTATTGAATTACAGCAAGGAAAGTAGGCAGGACAAAAGCACCAAAGCTAGCCGTTCAAGAACTATGTTTATTACTTAACAGCCACTCTGACAACATTTTGGTAAGGAACATGAATAAAATTAAGAATTGCTATACTGGGTCAGAGATGGCTCAGTGGATAAAGCACATGCCATGCATGTGTGACATCTCAACCAGATCCCTGGAATCCACATAAAGCAGGACATGGCAGGTAGGGTTTCTATCTGTAATCCCAGTGCTCCTAGGGCAAGAGAGGAGGCAGAGACAGGAGGATTCCCAAAAGCTCACAGGCCTGGTATATGCAGTGGTGAACAGCAAGAGACTGTTGCAAAGCAGAAAGCAAGGACCCATCTCCACGGTGGTCTCCTGACCTCTACACGTGTCTGCACCCACACACAGCATGCACACGTATCACACATACTGATATTTTAAGAAGTTGCAACAACAGTTTATCTGGGTGCCACAGGCTGAATAACGACTCTACACTCTCTATGTCTATGCTGGCTGTGGTGGAGCTTGCCAGTAATCCCTGTGTTTGGGAGGTGGAGGCAGGAGAATCAGGACTTCAAGGTCATCCTCAGGTTGGTGCCAGTCTGGGTGAGACCCTGTCTTTAAACAGACAAAATAAAACAAATCAACTTCTTTTTTTTCTTTTTTTCTTTTTTTTTGGTTTTTCGAGACAGGGTTTTTCTGTGGCTTTGGAGCCTGTCCTGGAACTAGCTCTGTAGACCAGGCTGGTCTCGAACTCAAGGAGCTCCGCCTGCCTCTGCCTCCAAGTGCTGGGATTAAAGGCGTGTGCCACCATCGCCTGGCATTAACTTATTTTTTTAAAGATTTATTTATTATGTATAGGGTTCTGTCTGCATGTATGCCTGCATGCCAGAAGAGGGCACCAGATCTCATTATAGATGGTTGTGATGGTTGCTGGGAATCAAACTCAGGACCTCTGGGAGACCAGCCAGTGCTTTTAACCTCTGAGTCATCTCTCCAGGCCACAAATCAATTTCTTAATCCCTAGAATCTCATTAAGTTCTTAATATGAATTATCTTGAATCATTTGGGTAGGTCTTAAATAAAACTAAATGTTTTGTTCTGAGACAGGGTCTCAAATGTAGCCCAAGAAGGCTTGCCCTCGGTTTCCCCAGTGCTAGAACTGTGGGCTTGTGCCATCACACTCAGCGGACACAGACGATGACACCGTTCTTTACTTCTGTATTTGTATTACATTTATCTATCCCTAGGCACGGGACACAGGTGAAGGCCACGAGACAACTTGTGGGAGTTGTTTCTCTCCTTTTATCATGTGAGTAAACTGTGCTCAGGATTGGCAGAAAATGCCATTACCTGGTGAGACATCTTGTCAGCCCTGCTTTTTAAAAAAATTTTCTTTCTTTTTCTTCCTTTTTTTGGGGGGGGGGGGAATGGAGGGTGAGGCAGGGTTTCTCTATGTATTCACCCTGGCTATCCTGGAACTCACTCTGTAGACCAGGCTGGCTTCAAATTCAGAGACCCACCTGCCTCTGCCTCTCAAGTGCTGGGATTAAAGACAGTCACCACTCATGGCCTGAGGTTTAAACAGATGTATCTATTTTTATTTCATGTGTATGAGCATTTTTCCTGCATGTATGTATGTGCACTAAATGTATGCTTGTTGCCTGAGAGGGCCAGAAGAGGGCCCTCTATGTAGTTCCTGGAACCACACTTACGTCCTCTGCAAGAGAAGCAAATGCTCTGAGCCACTAAGCCACCTCTCATACTGTTTATGGACATGCATGTGTCTATGTGAGTGCATGCACATGTGTGTACAGATGTTTGCATCTATGTGTGCAAGTGAAGGTCAGAAGACATTGCCTATTCACTCACTGCCTATTCTTCTAAGATAGGGCCTCTTTCTGAACCTTGGGCTCGTGGTTTCTCAGCTAGGCTGAAAGTCAGCAAGCCTTAGTGAGCTTGCTGTCTCTGCCTCCCTCAGAACTGGCAGTACAGGTGTTTATGGGGACACTCAGCTTGTTGTGTGGGTGCTGGGATTCCAATCCCAATCCTCGTCATTATATAGCAAACTTTTTTTGTCTTGTTTTTTCTTTTCTTTTTCTTTTTTTTTTTTTTTTTGATTTTTTTTTTTCCCAGACAGGGTTTCTCTGTGTAACAATCCTGGCTGTCCTGGAATTCACTCTGTAGACCAGGCTGGCCTTGAACTCCACCTGTCTCTGCCTCAAGAGTGCTGAGATTAAAGGTGTGCATCACCACTGCCTGGTTATGTTTTGGTTTTTTTTGAGACAATGTTCTCTGTATGGCATTGGAGATCAGCCTGCTTCTGCCTTCCAAGTGCTGGGATTAAAAGGGTGTGCCACCACTGTCTGTCTATAGCAAGCAATTTTAAATGATGAACTGTTTATCCAGTATTGCACAAGCCATGCATTGCACAAGATTGCACACACATACTTTAAAAAGTTTTTTGAGACAGGTGTAGGCTGGCCTTGAACTCACTATGTAGCTGAGACTGGCCTTGAAATCCTGAATCCTCCTGCTTCCTACCTACAGAATGACATACTTTGAAGAGGGAGAACAGAGTCACAAACAATGGATGTATGTAGCTACTAGCCACTGAAAAATACAGTGGAGCCAGGAGGTGGTTTTAGTGCTTTCAGGGTCAAATCAGAAACCAGTTGAGTTTAGGTGTAAGGCTAGACAAAGAATTTCTCATTTCCTTCAGGCCCCTTGCAGGATTCAAATCAGATTTCATCAAGTTATTATCTTGAGCCAGATAGGGTTTTTTCAACTTTAAGAAATACTTTATTTACTTTGTTTTATATGTGTTTGCTTGCATGCACGTGTGTGTATATATACACTTGGTACCTGCAGAGGTCAGAAGAGAGCATCCATTCTCCTGGAACCAGAGTCACTGATGGATATGTGGGTTCTGGGAACACACTCAGGTCTTCTGCAATAGCCACTAGTGCTCTTAACCACTAAGCCATCTCACTGTTGTGAGTTTTTGTTTGTAGTTCGCAATGCCTGAAGATCAGAGTGCAGAGCTAACCCACCTGAGATTAGGCAGTGGTGGCGTACACCCTTAATCCCAGGACACGGAAGACAGAGGCAGATGGATCTCTGTGAGTTCAAGGCCACCCTGGGCTACACAAAAATGATACAGTCTTTAAGAGAAACAGAGCTCACATAAAGGTGATCCCAGCAGTTGGGATCACATGCCTTTAATCCCAGCACTAGGGGGCTGGAGACAGGAGTAATATGGCTCGGTGGAGAGAGGAATATAAGGTGAGAAGAGACAGGAGCTCAGTGCAGCCTGAGGTTTGGTGGAGACAGATGCAGTCTGAGGATAAGATTGCCCTTTTGGCCTGAGGATTCATCAGAAGTAAAAGGTCTCTCTAGTGGCTGGCTGCACTGCTTCTCTATCTCTCAATTTTCACCCCCTAATATCTGACTCTGGGTTTTTATTGTTAAGAACAATTAGAATTCGAGCTACATCTCGCTAGCTCCATAAATGGGGCTTTTTAAGGGGTGTAACAACCTACACCCCTGAGGTAAACACGTGATAGAGGAGAGATGTGCTTTTTCACTTCGTATTAACTCTCCACATCAGACTTATGAACGGCCTCAGATTTCTTAAGTTTCTTTATGTCATGGCATACACAGCCTCCTTCCTACTTTTACATTCTAGACAGAAATAGAAGACTTTATCTCAAATGAATCTAAGTAACTTCCTACACAATTTTTATAGTTTTCTCAAGTTACATCATAATCCATGTGAGAGACAGGCAGGAATGGGCCAGGAAACCAGGCTCAATCTTTCCTAAGGCTCTCCCTGTGCAGCACTGGAGATGCGCAGCTCGCTCCATAGACCACGCCGGCCTTCAACTCACAGAGCTCCACCTGCCCCTGCTCCTCAACACTGGAGTAAAGACATGGGCACCACACTTGGCACCGTCACTTTTCAGACAGGAATCTTGTCTACTAGGATCTGTGGGTGCTGGCTACCTCCAGCATCCTCTTCATACCTGTGTGTCAAAGACATTGTTCAGCATGACGCCATACTGATGAGACAGGCAATCAGACAGCGATCGACAATCATGGATGACCTAGGAGTCGGAAGATGGAGAGAGTCATTAGAACCTGGCCGCTAACCTCATTCCTACAGGAATCTGCTTCTATGCCCACCTTTAAGATTCTCTTGTCTTCTAAGATCATCTGAAGCCCATTGTTGAAAGCACGACTTCCCAGAAGGAAAATATCAAACAAGTAAACTCGGCTGTTTGTGGCCACCTACAACAGACAACACAGGATGAGGAAAGACCAGAGGAGGCCATCTGAGGACCAAAAGCACAGGGCACAGGTGAAAGTGGTGAGCATCCTCATGGTTAAGCTGGCAGCAGTCATACAAGTGATACAATGGGGCTCGGGGGTGGCTGTGTGGTAGGGTGTTTGCTTAATATGGGTGAAGTTCTGGTTTTACCTTTGATTTAATTTTGATATCTTTGATCCAGATACTGCAATAAATACGTTTAAAGGCACAATTACTAGGATTTTCAGAAGGAAAGAAAAGGGTAAACAAGTAAACTAGCTGTGTCAACCAGGAAAGCTTTGTGGATTTTGTCTTGTTCTTTTAAGATACAGTAAGCATGACAAATATATGTATTCACTTCTATCACTTATGACATTATTCTCTATTCTTTCAAAATTTCATATATGTATGCAATGTATCTTGGTCATATTTACCCCTTACTCTTCACCTCCAACTCCCTCAGAACGCCCTCACAACCTCATGTCCTCCTTTTTTGTTTTTTTATTTAACCCACTGAATAAAATTAGTGCTGACTGTAGACACTGGAGCATGGAGCCATCCACTGGGGAAGGAAGGCCCTCCCGCTCCTATAGAGAAGCTGCTCTCACTCCCAGGAGTTATCAACTGCCAATAAACAGGGGTAGGCCTTGGAAACCCCTTCCCTGAACATCAAATACTCTGTGTGTGTGTGTGTGTGTGTGTGTGTGTGTGTGTGTGTGTGCGTGTGCGTGCATTTCTTCATGTGTGTGCATGTGCATGAAGCCCAGAGGACAAACTCAGGCACTATCCACCTTATTTATCTGTATTACACACAGGACAGAAGGACAGACTGAAACCTGCAAATTGTCCAATGTCCTCCACACATACTGTGGCACATTCGAATACTGCTCTGCCCCTAAAGCAGATACAGATACATATAGGTTAAAATTTTGTTTGTTTTTTGTTTTTTTTGAGGCAGGGTTTCTCTCTGTAGCTCTGGTTGTCCTGGAACTCACTGTGTAGACCAAGCTGGCCTTGAACTCTGAGATTTACCTGCCTCTGCCTCCAGAGTTCTGGGATTAAAGGCATGTACCACCACTACCCAGCTATTTTTTAATTTTTAAAATATGTGTATGGATGTTCTGCCTCATGTATGTCTGCACCACATACATGCCTGGTTTTCTCCAGGGTCAGAAGTGGACACTGGATTCCATGGAATTGAAGTTACAAGCAGTTGTGAGCTACCATTGGTTGGGGGAACTGAGAATTAACCAAGTTCCTCTGTAAGAATAATAAGAGCTCTTACCCTGATCCATCTTTCCAATACCCACTGGCCTTTTTAAAAAAGAATTAATTAATTAATTAATTAAATTTAAAAGGTAATTAATATAAGAATGGATATTCCAAGGGCTTGGGCTGTAGCTCGGTGAAAGAGTGCTTATCTAGGCTTAACTGGGATACAGGAGGCTTTAGGTACAACCCCAGTACTTCCAGAGAAAAAAAGGAAACCAATAATAGATATTCTAAGTGAGTTCTTAAGTGACAGAAAGACTATTAAAAATATATAAACAGTGCTAGGTGGTGGCGGCTAATGCCTTTAATACCAGTACTTGGGAGGCAAAAGCAGGCAGATCTCTGAGTTCAAGGCTGGTCTACAGAGTAAGTTCCAGGACAACCAATATCCTGTGGGATAATACATTGTAAAGATTTGTCACTCATTTTGGTTTAATAAAATGCTGACTGGCCAGTAACCAGGCAGGAAGTACAGGTGGGGCAAACAGACTAAAAAAATTCTAGAAAGAGGAAAGGCAGAGATGCAGACACCATCCAGAAGGAGAGGAAGCAAGATAAGAATGCCTTACTAAGGAAGGTTCCAAGCCATATGACTAAACATAGGTAAGAATTATGGGTTAATTTCAGTTATAAAAACTAGCTAATAATAAGCCGGAGCTAATAGGACAAACACTTTATAATTAACATAAGCTTCCATGTGTTTCTTTGAGATTGAACAGCTGTGGGACCAGGCGGGCCAGAAACTTCCATTTACACCAATATACATGTATGTAGTGTGTATGTATGTATGTATGTATGTAATATCAGTGTATCCATATATGTGCACATGCATATTTACACATATACACATATCTGTGTCTATACACGTACACACATACACATATACTGAACATTTGGGAAGTAGATAATGAACTAGGTTCAAAGGCTAGCAGATACACAAGAGAGTTCAAGGCCAGCCTAGGCTCCATAACACCATGCCAGAAGCAAAACCAAAGAAAACACTTCAGTTTAGAAAAGATCTTTCACCTGAAGCCAACAGAGTTTCCCATGGCGACACACATTGGCTCCTTCTGCAGCCACACTCAGGACACTCTGCTTCTTGATGTGGAGCATCTGTTAAGAAAAGGAACGCACCTTTAATTCCAGCACTCAGGAGGCAGAAGCAGGCAGATCTCTGAGTTCAAGGCCAGCCTGGTCTACAGAGTTCTAGGACAGCCAAGGCTACACAGAGAAACCTTGTTTCAAAGGATGTGTGTGGGGGAGAGGGGAATAAACATCTTTCATGATATTTTGAGGCTAACAGCCATAACTTGATGGTGATAAATACTGGATTTGAGGGGTCAGGGTGGCTGGTGCACATCTTTACTACCAGCACTTGCGAGGCAGAGGCATGCAGATCTGAGTGTAAGGTCAGTGTGGTCTATAGAGCGAGCTCTAGGATAGCTGGGGCTACACAGAGAAACCCTGACTCGAAATAATAAATAACCAAATAAAAAATGGGCTTTCATATACCTTCAGGTTGGTCTCCAACTAAGCCACATAGCCCAAGCTAGTCTTACCCTCCTGAGTGTTCTATTTCTATTCCCAAGTATTGAGATCATAGGAATGTACCAAACACCCAACCTGGGTCATCTCTGTGTGTGTGTGTGTGTGTGTGTACATGTTCACTTGTGAGTATGTGTGTACACATTCATGTGGAGGACAGAGATCCATGTCTAGTGTCTTCCTCAGTCACTGCCTACCTTATATTTTGAGACAGGTTTTCACTGCACATGGAACTCACTGATTTGGGTAGACTAGCTGAGACTTGCTGACTAGCAGCCCCAGGAATCTTCCTGTCTCTGTCTGAGGGTACAGATGTTCATGCTCCCTGCTTTACTTCAGTGCTGGGGATCCGAACCAGGCCTTCATGCTTGCACAGCAGGCATTTTGCTGATGAAGGTGTCTTCCCAGCTCCTGGATCATGGTTTTGTTGTTGTTGTTCCTTTCCCCAAGACAGGGTTTCTCTGTGCAGCCTAAGCTGTTCTGGAACTTACTCTGTAGACCAGGCTGGCCTCAAACTCAGAGATCTACCTGCCTCTGCTTCCTGAGTGCTGGGATTAAAGGTGTGCACCACCACTTCTGGGCATTATTTCCCCATCATTTTACATTTACAGCTCTGACTAACACAAACCAGAGTCTGTTTCACTTATACATATAAATTACCACTAAACACATTTGCTCCTCAGTTTTGGAAAAAGTATAAATATATAACTGTAAGATAAATCACTCAGACCCTAAATGCTAATGAAAAAAGTCTGCAAAAAGTCAGCTCTCCCTTTAAAGACATATATATGACAGGCATGGTGGGTGTCCATCTGTCTTCCCAGTTACTCTGAAAGCTAGCACAGGACTGAGTAGGAGGACAGGCTGAGAAAATTATGAAGACTTTGTCTCTGAACCAATAACAAATAAAATGATCCACGTACCCCAATTCTAAGTTTATATACAACAGAAATGTCAGCGACTCTCCTGAAGTCCATCTGTGAATATGACCACATTTACTTCACTTTCTCAAATTCACTGAGGTAATACCATCTGGAGTAGTCCTCTGAGAATGTGAGTGAGGAGCTGGGTGTGGTGATGTCTTCTGTAATCCACAGGGATGCAGACAGGAGGGTCAAGAGTTCAAGATCAACCTCAGCAACATAGGAAATTTGAGGCTGCATGGGGTACAGGAGACTGTGTCTTAAAAATCAAATTGCTATTCCAGCATGGGGACACACGCCTTTAATTCCAGCAGCTGGGAGGCCCAGGCAGGCCTGAGTTTGAGGCCAGCCTAGTCTACACAGAGAGTTCCAGGACAGCCAGGGTTACAGAGAAATGCTGTCTTGAAAAACCATAGATAAATAAATCCAACTGCTGTCCCTAAAATGTTGGCTAGCCTGGCATGGTGGTACACCCCTATAATCTTACTCTGAAGGGGCTGAGATAGGAGATCTGAATTTAAGACAAGCATGGGTTATTTGCTAGAGCCTCTCTCAAAAACAAGTAAATAAGGTCGGTGAGATGGCTCAGAGGGTAAAAGTACTCGTCATGCAAGTCTGATGACCTGAGCTAGTTCTAGGCTACCCTGGGCTAACACTAATTGGGCGGGCCTAAAGACCTGAGTTTGATATAAAGGTATGCACATCTGTAATCCCAGCACTCTTACTCTGCAATGGGAGCCAGAGACAAGAGAACTGCCCAGTAACTCTGGGTCAGCTGTCCTGGAGCACACAGCACAGTAGCAGAAACAGTGTGGAAGGTGAGAACTGACTCCTCAAAGAGATCTGATGACCTCGACTCACATGCCATGGCACTCGTGCTTGCGCACACACACACACACACATACATACATACACACACACATACATACATACATACATACATACATACACACATACATACATACACATACATACACACATACATACATACACACACACACACACACACACATAAATAAAACCACCAAAGGGCTGGAGTGATGATTCAGCGGTTGAATGCTGACTGTCCTTGCAGAGGATCTGGGTTTGATTTCAGGCACCCACATGGCAGCTCATAGCCATCGGTAACTCCAGTCCCAGAGGATCTGACACCCTCCTCTGGACTCCATAGGCACCGTGTGAATGGGACACATAAACATACACGTAAATGAAACACCTATACACACAAATACAATATTTTAAATACTGTTTAAAAATAACAAAACCACCAAAATGCTCTGTTCATAGGGAAAACATCAAAGATCTTAAAATCAATTTGTAAGACACAGACATGATATCTACACAGAAGACCACATTGTGAATGATTGATAGTACTTAACCGCAGCACCAAACTTCTGTTGGAATTGATCAACGACGGTGTATGTCACCTCCTCTTCCTCTACAAGAGAAGGATGGCATAAGATGTATCTCTCTTCCTTGACAAGAGAATAGCCCTCTTGTTAATTTCAGAATTACCCCTTATTACCTGACCAGTCCTCATTAAACACATTGAGTACTAATTACTGTCCTGTTTTGTCACCTGAGAAGAAACCAGAGTCCCACCAAGGATAATCTTACAAACTGGATGGTCTCATCATTTCCTGTCATAAGCTAGAGCTGATTCTCTCTTCCTAGTTTACATATGAATACCTTGAGGCCGTTCTGTAAAGGTTGATTATTATGTATGCACATGTATGGTGTGCACAGTGTGTGCGCACATGCTCACATGGACGTGGAGGTCAGAAGACAACTTGGTAGAGCTGGTTCTCTCTCTCTCCTACTTTTATGTGGGTTCTAGGGGTTGAACCTAAACCACCCAGCAAGCGTCTTTACCCACTGACCCATCTTGTCTGCCAAAGTTAAGCATGTTAAAAAGATATTTCATGGGGGCTGGAGAGATGACTCAGTGATTAAGAGCACTGGCTGCTCTTCCAGAGGACCCAGGTTCAATTCCTAGCACCCACATAGCAGCTTATCACTGTAACTTAAACTGTAACTCCAGTTTCAGGTGATCCACTACCTTCACACTTATATACATGCAGGTAAAACATGAAAGCAGATGAAATAAAAATAAATTATTTTAAAAAAGATATTTTGCAATAAAAAGTAATAGTTTAAAATAAATGAGTCCTGGAAAAGAAACAATACACACACTGTTGGAGTTTTTAAGTGTTGATTATTACTATTATTTGGTTTTTTTTGAGATAAGGTCTCACACAGTTCAGGCTAGCCTTGAACTTACTAAGTAGCTGAGAATGCCCTTGAACTTCTGATCTTCCTGCCTCTATTTCCCCAGTGTACCCATCTAATGATAATGGGGATGGAACCCAGGTCATGGTTAACATGAGGAAAGTATCCTATCCTGAGCTACAGGATAGCTAAAGAGCCATGGGCGCTAGAGACAGAACTGCCCCGAGGCTCTGGGTCAGCTGTCTTCGAGCACACAGCAATGTAGCAGGAACAATAGTGATGGGCACTATTAACCAACTTAATTCAACTCAAGAATTGAATTAAGTTGAATTTTGGTGGCTGTCTTGGTTATGATTGCTACTCTACTGCTGTGAAGAGACACCATGACCAACCAAACTTTTATAAAAGAAAGCATTTAACTGGAGCTTGGTCCATTATCATCATGGCAAGGAGCACAGCAGTATGGAGCTGGAGCAGTGGCTGAGCATTCTACATTCTGATCCACAGGCAGCAGGCAAAGAGAGACAATGGGCCTGGTATGGGTTTTGGAAACAAAGCCCCCCCCCACACACACCTCCAACAAGGCCACCCCTCCTAATCCTTCCAAACAGTTCAACTGGGGACTAAGTGCACAAATACACAAGGCTACTGGGGCGTTCTCACTCAAACTGGCATAGCCACTCAATGGTTAAGAGTTTCTGCTGCTTTTCCAGAGGACTTGAGTTACTCCCAGCGTCCGAGTCCACTTCCTGTTGCCTTCTGTTTAAAAATGTAGCCAGCAGCGTGTCTATCTGCACACCACCATGCTCCCCACCATGATGATAATGGACTGAACCTCTGAACTGTAAGCAAGCCACCTCAATTAAATGCTTTCCTTTATAAAAGTTGCCATGGTCATGGTGTCTCTTCACAGCAATAGAAACTCAAACTAAGGCAGGTAGTTCATTTAGTTTAAAGGCTTGGCAGCAGGTGATCTGTTCAATCCCCAGGGCCAACATGGTAGAAGGCAAGAAGCAACTTTCAAAGTTGTCCTCTGACTTCCACAAGAGCCTGAGTGTGCATACATGCTTTCACAGGTGCGCATACACACATACATGCACACAAACACACAAACACATCTTTATTTCCTAGTCTCTCTAGTGCAAGGGCAATCCTCCTCTTCTTTTGCATTTATTTATTTTTAATAATTTATTTAACTTTTATTTTATATGCATTAGTGTGAAGGTATCAGATCCCCCAGAAATGGAATTATAGTCAATTGTGAGTTGCTATCATGTGGGTGCTAGGAATTGAACCTTGGTCCTCTGGAAGAACAACAGGTGCTCTTAACCACTGAGCCATCTCTCCAGTCCTTCTTTTGCATTTATACATGCTCACTTGGTGACTTCAGCTGGTCTCAAGATTTTAAAAACAGTCTATTGGTTGACTCCTCAAGTTCTCTCTCCATATCATTCTCTCTAGGCTACATTTGCATTTTTGGAGACAGGCCTTCACTATGTAGCCATGCTGTCCTCCACTTACAATCTTCCCAGGAATGTATCACCTGACTGCTGGCATCCCTAGACTTTTATTCAAACTTGACCCAAGCTGAATGCTGCAGTTGGTTTTAGGGTCAACTTACCACATATTAGAATCACCTGAGTAGAGTATCTCACCAAACAACTGTCCTCATTGCCTTGACTGATAGAGGAAGGCCCACCCAATTGTAGTGGGATCTTCTGCGGTCTTTTGCTGGCTTGGTCTTCCCTCCTGCTACTGTGTTTGTCTACCCTGTTGCTGCTGCTGCTGATTCCTTCGCTGATAACAGAACCAGTATTTCCAAGCTTTCGTCATGGACTAGCAGACCAGAGGCTCACCAGGAAACTCCTGGGCTTCCAGCAGCAGACTGGGACTGTTGAGGCCCCCTGCTCTGTAGACTGCCACCCCCCTCAAACCAGAGAGATAAAGCTATTGTGGTATACTCCACTGTAGAGGCGTTTAACTTCATGGAATTAGTAACTACGGGGTTCTCAACTTCTCAGCTGTGACTTAGCTGTTGTTACTAACTTAACAAATTCATATTCCCTCTCTCTCTCTCTCTCTCTCTCTCTCTCTCTCTCTCACTCACTCATCCCATTGGCTCTGTTCCTCTAGAGAACCCTGATTAATTCAATGGACTTATGTTTGGGTCTCCAAAACCTTTTCTACATGAAAGTCTTCTCACCTTAGTTTACACGACTCCCTTCATATCTGCAGATGCTGAGGTTCTTTGATTCCTCTTCATCCTCTCACCCCATCTATCTACTTTGTCAGCACACTCCACGAGCACTACCTTTAACACACATCTACAAGTGCAGCACCTCTATCTCCTCTACCGCTGCCACTGGAGTCTAGGGCATTGTCCTTATTGGTTAAAAGTATTTCAAGGCCGAGGGATGGTTCACTTGGTGAAGGTACTCACTGCAGAACCTGACAGCCAGACTTCAATACAGGACCCACACAGCGGAAGGAGAGACCCTTCCTTCAAGTTGGCTCTTCTGCCACCACATGCATGTCATGACGCACATGCATCCCCACACACAAATAAATGTAACCGAAAATTTAAAACATAAACTGGACAGTGGTGGCGCGTGCCTTTAATCCCAGCATTCGGGAGGCAGAGAGGCAGGTCAGCCTGATGTACAGAGTTCCAGGACAGACAGGGCTACCAAAGAAACAAAGAAACCCTGTTTCAAAAAACTACAATACACACACACACACACACACACACACACACACACACATACATACACATCATTGAGAAGCAAGATCAGGCACGGTGGCCCTTACTTGTTATCTTAGGACTTGGAAGGTTGTGGCAGGAGGACTGCCTTGAGTTCCAGGTTATCCTAGACTACAGTGTGAGATCGAAAAATGAAAAACAAAAAATTATTTCTTCACAAAGCTGTTTAGATTTTTTCTGTTTGTGTGTTGGTCTCTGTAGTCCAGTCTCGCCTTAGCCTATAATCTGAGCCTAAGGGCTCAGGCAAGATTGTTGAGAGTTTGAGGCTAGCCTGGGTTATAGAATGAATCCTAGGCTACCGGAGTGAGACCCTATCACAAAACAACAAAAACTAACCAGTTTATGCTTTGGGCATGGTGGCAGGTGGCTCTCTGAGTTTAAGGCCAGCTTGGTTCTCGCAGGTTTGTGTACGGAAGCCCTGGAGCACTGGCACTTGTTAATCATACCGCCTGGGAACTGATGCCAACCTGGACTACGTAAGAAGCACCACCGTGGCCAGGGCTATCTGTGACTAGACTGTGACTGAAAACAAGACAAAGAGAACTTCTCCTGACATCCAAATAGCTCAGTGCCTCCTCTCCTTCAGGCCTTTATGCGAATGTCACTACTTCAGGAAGACCTGCCCCAGACACTCAAAACCTCTGAAAGCACATGACCCACAAGCTTACTGGCCTGCTATTTCTCTATCTCAGCTTTTGCTGATAGAGTACTAGCATTCCATATATTTTACTCAGTTTTAATTTTTTTTTTTTGAGACAGCATCTCATATACCCGAGGCTGTCCTCAAACTGGCTATGTAGCCTTGAACTCTTGGTCCTTTTCTTCTACCTCTTAGTGGTGAGATGGCAGGTGCAGTGCCACACATATTTCCAACTCAGATCCACTCATCCATCTTATTTAGCATCTTGGTATCAGACTCAATGAGGGTAGCATTCCTAATCCTGGCACACACTACGCATTCCACGTCAACTAAACACACAATTTATAATACTTACCTTAATTCACAATTTTTATTATGAGGCACAATAAAAGCAGCCTAGCAAATTCAGAGTTCCAGTACCCACCTGATGGGCAGTATTTGAGGTCGCTGAGCAGAGAGCTGGCTGGTGCCTCTGGCAGAGGTGACGCAGGCTCACACACTGTTAGGTCTTCATCTTTCATTTTCTCCATTCCAGCCTTTTCTGCGGTCATGCTATCCTCACAAAACAATCACATTCAGGTGAACTTGTCCTTCGTAACAGACCTCCCTGCCCACTGACAGCAACAAGCACTGCTGGGGGCGCCACCTAGAGACAGCCACGCTGCTGCTAGTGGGTTAGAGTGAAGTCTTTCTCCTCTACTGTGCTCACCTGGAAAACCTCACAGAGAAAAACTATCCTGTAATACCTAGTGGAAGACGCCTTCTCCCCAGATGCACCTTGTTCTGCTTCATCCATTAGTTCCACTGAAAAACAACCAGAAGATTTTCAACAGTTTCCGGCTGGAAAGTTACTAGCCACTGCAGCGCACACATACACCGTGCCCAACTGCGTACTATAATGGGTTGAAAGCAGGAAAAGAAAATTCATATATACAGCACTAAAGACAAGACCAATCCTATTTTCTTTCAAATGCCTAAATGAGCCAGAGAAGTGAGTTTTCTATGGCAGATTCCAATCAGCAATCAGGGAACACAAAACTTACCATTCAAAATCTCATACCCAAAAAACATCTTCACTCCTGGGACACTCCGGCCTGTCTCTACATTCTTCACTGCAATAGAAAATAACCCATCTGGTTACTACTGCATACTACTTCCCCAAGCTGCAAGAAACTGGGAAGTCTCTCTGACTTCATCTTGTCTACAGGCATACAAGCAGGCAGAACACTATATACATAATAAATAAACCTTTAAAAAATCCTGCCACCAGATGGTGGTGTTGCACGCCTTTAATCCCAGAACTCGGGAGGAAGAGGCAGGCAGATCTCTATGAGTTCGAGGCCAGCCTGGTCTATAGAGGGAGCTCCAGTACAGCCAGAGCTACATAGAGAAACCCTGTCTTGAAAAACCAAAAAAAAAAAAAAAAAAAAAAATCTTTTCTTTCCCAGAGAAATGGAGAGTCAGTTAAATTACAAACCTACATCCTACAGCTGACTAATAATAAACAGTAAAGCTCAGAATGTTCTAAAAACAAAAAAAAACAACACAACAAAAAACCTTATAGAGAGTCAGGTATAATGGTTACAGACCTTTAAACCCAGAACTTGGGAGGCAGAGCCAGGTAGATCTCTTGAATTCCAGGCTAGCCTGGTCTATATAGCAAATTCCAGGCCAGTCAAGGCTATATAATGAGACCCTGCCAAAAAAGGAAAAGAAAAAAAGAGAAGAAACTAAAAGGAAAAAATTCCCAACTGCTGGGGTTAAAGACATGTGCCAGGCTGGCAATGGCAGTGCATGCCTGTAATCCCAGGACCCAGGAGGCAGCCCTATGTGGGGTTAGGGTCTGAACCTCAGGTCTTCTGTGTGTTATGCAAGAACTCCACCAACTGAGCTACACTGACACAAGTTCTCACATATTCCAGACTGGCTTCAAATTCATTATTTAGTTAGGCTGGCCCTGGACTCCTGACTTCTGGACTTCTTTTTGTCTGAAACAAATTAATCCTTTACATCTATGATATTTTCCCCTTTGTTGAAGCCAAAAGAAATTTCAATAACAAGATTAATTTCAATATTCATATAATTAAGAGAAGTCCCCAATTTTTAAAAACTATATGTTGAAAATCAACACTTTCAGGGTTGGAGAGATGGCTCAGCAGTTCAGAGCACTAAATGCTGCTCCAGAGGACCTGGTTTGATTCCCAGCGCCCATGTAACAACTCATAACCATCTGTAACTCCAGGGGTCCTATGTCTTTTATGACATCTATGGGTACTGAGCATGCATAAGACAAACAGACATACATGCAGACCAAACACTCACATACATTAAAGAAATAATAAGAAAGAAAATTTCCACTATAATGTCAGCGAGAGTATACAAGTGAGGACGGGTCAACATGGGCAGCCATGTTGCTCCGCTAGGGAAGAGTATTCTACTATTTTCTCAGACCATTCTTAAAATAGGAACAACACTGCTTTCTCAGCTACTAATGCTGCCCACAGTCATCACCCACACACAGCTGCTAATCCCTTAAGGAGGCAAAGGAAAATGACAAAGAGAACCAAACCGTGTTTTAGGACAACAATCTTGTTAGGGTCTACATGCTGGAGCACGCCCTCGAAGATGCCAGAAACCAATGTGAGTTTCACTCTTCTCCACAAAATGTGGTTGAGGAAATGGTAGTCACTGCTGGGATCCATGCTCTTTGATTCCAAAAGCAGACTTCAGAGAATCTTCGTTGAGCGTCCAAACACTTGAAAATTAACAAAGATCATTATTTTGGAAAGACTATTTTTTTTTCATTTTCATAGTGGTGCACATCTTTAATCTCAGAAGACTGAAGTAAGGATAATCTCTGGCTTCAACAGCTTGGTCTACATAGCTAGTTTCAGGTCAGCCAGGGAGACCTTGTCTCATAAACAGTTTCCAAAGTTTGGTTATTAGCATTTCTCCAAATTTCTAAGGCCATGGTTCTCAGTCTGTGAGCTGTAATCCTTTTGTGGGGGGAGGAGTCAAATGACCCTTTTACAGGGTCACATATCAGATATTCTACATGTCAGGTATTTACATTACAATTTATAACAGCATGAAAATTATAGTTCTTAAGTAACAATAATAATTTTATGGTTGGGGGTCACTACATTATGAGGAACTATATTAAAGGGCCACAGCATTAAGAAGGTTGAGAAGCACTGTTCTAAGGGATAAGAACAGTAGTCTTGTTATGTTCATTACTTTAGAATGAATGCAAAGAACAACAGCAATACAATTTTATTTATTTTTATTTTATGTGGACAGGTGTTTTGCCTCCAGGTACATGCATGTACATTAGTTCCGCGCCTAAGGAAGCCAGAAGAGAACACCAGATCCCCTGAAACTGGAGTTACTGACGGTTGCTGGGAACTAAACCTGTGTCCTCTGTAAGAGATCTTAAGCACTGATCTCTCCAGCTCCACAATTTTAATTCATATGGGAAACTCAAAACTGTAGAGCTATATGCAAGATGAGATTAGCTTTCTTTACTTCTAAGATGGGCATGGAGAGGGAAGCAGAGGAAGAGAGGAAGCTGAAAGATTTTTAAGACCAGAGGGGACGGATGTCATCAAGGAAACAGTGTCTTCTAGACACAAGGAGACTGAGGAACATATGAACTCACACATTAGGGCAGCAAGTACAGGGCCTGCACAGGTCCGAGCTGGATAGGGTCCCCGCATTGAGAGGGGAAGTGGACACAAGCTCCCAACTCCAGCTGACAACTGCTCACAGAGGAAAGATCAGCTTCTCCAACGGAGCCTCACTGGGGATACAAACCCTGTATTAAGGCCAAACCCTGTATTCAGCAGTACATGGCCTATGAAAAATGAACTCAGTGATATTTTCAGAAATGTTTTCTTTTATTGCTTTGTCTGGGAATTTTTTACCTTCCAGGACTTTTATATTACAGTTTCCAATTTTGTGTTTTTATGGACATTGCGTTTCTTGTGCTTTTTGTTTTATTCTGGTTGTTTAATTTGCCTGTTTTTTGTTTTGCTGTGTTTTTGTATTTTTGAGAGAGAGTTTCACTATGTAGCTCTGTCTGTCCTGGAATTCACTATGTAAACCAGGCTGGCCTCTATCTCACTGAGATTCACCTGCCTCTGCCTCTCAAGTGCTGGGATTAAAGGCATGTGCCACCATGCCCAGCTATCTTTTTATACTTCAAGGAAGGGCTCTCAAAAATATTGATACTTGCACCAACCAGAACCTAACCCACAGATGAGCAAACAGAGGACCTATCACCCTCCGCTGTATTCCTTTGAGATAGGGTATCTCACTGATGCTGGGCTCTTCTCGTCTCTATCCTCCATAGCACTGGGATTTCAGGTTAGTGTCTGAGTGGGTGCTGGGATCTGATTTGAGGTTTCCTGCTTGAGCAGCAAGCCCTCTTACTCACTGAGCCATCTCTGCAGCCCTGTGACATAGACAATACTTACATTAATAAGGCTAGGATGTTCAAACCTGAAAAGTTATGAAATGCTTAGGAAGTAAGAAAATGAAAGATGGACCAAATGGGGCAGGAGACGCTCAGCAGTTAAGAGTGCTTTCTGGTGCTCAACGAGCGCATTACTCGTAATAGCCAGAACCTGGAAACAACCTAGATGCCCCTCAACCGAGGAATGGATAAAGAAAATGTAGTATATTTACGCAATGGAGTATTACACAGTGGTTAAAAAAATGACATCTTAAATTTTGCAGGCAAACGGGTGATCTAGAAAAAACCATACTGAGTGAGGTTACTGAGCGGCTTTTAGACATAAAGCAAAGAAAAACCAGCCTACAGTCCACAACCCCAGAGAACATACGCAACAATGGGGACCCTAACAGAGACACCCATGGATCTGCATACGAAGAAGAAAAGGACAAGCTCTCCTGAGTAAATTGGGAGCATAGGGGTCACAGGAGAGGGGAGAAGCGAAGAGGGGAGGAAAAGAGGGGAGTGGAGAAAAATATGTAGCTCGATAAAAACAAACAAAGAGTGCCTTTTGTTTTCCAGAGGCCCTAAGTTTGGTGCTTCCCAGCATCCACATTCAGTGCCCACAGCCCCTCTAACTCCAGCTCAGGGGAAAGGAGGCCCTCTTCCTCTTCTTGCCTCCATTGGTGAGATACACACACCCCTCTCACACACAAATACCACTTTGTTTGTTTGTTTGTTTCAAGACAGGGTTTCTCTGTGTGCTGTTGGCTGTTCTGGAACTTACTCTGTTAAACCAGGCTGGCCTCAAACTCATATCCGCCTGCCTCTGCCTCCCGAGTGCTGGGATTAAAGGTGTGCGACACCACCGCCTGGCTAAATACCATTTTTAAAGGTTAAAACAAATCAGAGGGGAAAAAAAACCCACATAGCAAAGACATTTTTCCCCCTCGTTTTTTTGTTTTTGTTTTTTTGGTTTTTTTTTGGTCTTCGAGACATTCGAGACAGGGTTTCTCTGTGGCTTTGGAGCCTGTCCTGGAACTAGCTCTGTAGACCAGGCTGGTCTCGAACTCCCAGAGATCCGCCTGCCTCTGCCTCCCGAGTGCTGAGATTAAAGGCGTGCGCCACCATAGCCCGGCTCCCCTGTTTTTTTTTTTGTTTTGTTTTGTTTTGAGACAGTTCTTCCTGAGTAGCCCTGGCTGGCCTGGACTGCCCTATCTAGCCCATGGTGACCTTGAATTTGTGAAGATTCTTCTGCCTCTGCTCCCTCAGTGCTGTGACTACAGACATCAGCCACCAGACCTCACACAAACGGTTTAGTTGGATACAGTCATCAAAACTTACATTGAAAATTAGGAAGAAAGGGCTGGAGAGATGGCTCAGTGGTTAAGAGCATTGCCTGCTCTTCCAAAGGTCCTGAGTTCAATTCCCAGCAACCACATGGTGGCTCACAACCATCTGTAATGAGGTCTGGTGCCCTCTTCTGGCCAGCTGACGTACAAACAGAATATTGTATGCATAATAAATAAATATTAAAAAAAAGAAAAGAAAATTAGGAAGAGACGAGCTTCTAGGCTGGCTGAGCAGGGGATCACGTATATATGCCTGACATCAAGAGTTCCATACTGCAATTAATGGGCTTCTTAAACTGCCGTATCCAATGTTACTACCAGCTTAGGAAGGGTCATCTCAGATGGGGTGAACTGAGAGGGGTTAATTATGAAAACATCGGAGTCAGACTAGGAAGCAAGTGGGCAGGGAAGCCCTGGGGACTCGGGCTCAGCTGCAACTGAAGCTGGGAGCCTAAGGTCATTTGAAAAGGGGGCTAAGATATCTGGGTACTGAGTAATAATTAATTTACTAATTAACTTCTTCCATCTCTCAAGCTGGTTCTAAACAAAGGGGTGAAGGGGCAAGACACGAGATGCCGCAGGAAAGCTACCGCTCCTTTTGAGAGGCTGTATACAAACATGCGGCTTTTAACCTTTTCATTAGCACAAACGAAAAAATGTCATAAAAATAAAACGCAAACTGGGCAGTGGTGGTGCCCTCAGGAGGCAGAGGCAGGCAAACATCTGAGTTCGACACCAGCCTGGTCTACATAGTAAGTTCCAGGACAACCAGGGGTACACAGAAAGGCCCAATAGCGAAAAACAAAAATAAAACAATAGAAATGAGAGGGAGGGAGAGAGAGGGGAAAGAGGAGAAGGAAAAAGAGAGAGGGAGAGAATAAAATGTAAGACCAGCATGGAGGCTCAAGTGTGTAATCCCAGGCCGAGACCAGCCAGGTATCCTCTGGAAAACCGAAGGAAACCATTTCCCAGCTTCTAGGCTGAAGCATAAACTCCTAATCCTCTAGCCTCCACCTCCTGGGATGAAGGGGCGGGGAGAAGCCCTTAAACAGGATTTCCCAATATTTCTTAGACTTGCTCAACCTCCAACTTCCCTACTTTCACCTAACAAGGGCTGGCTCACGGTTTAAAAGTTCCCATTTTAAAAACAAGATAAATTTCAAATAAATAAATGACAGTACCTGCCCAGGGTATTTACTCTCCCTCACCTTCTCACCTTTAGGGTCCTCTACCACCTACCCCCACCCACCCCTGGGCAAAGAAATTTGGGAAATCTGGACCTTAATCTCAGTCAGATGGCGCGCTCCTTGAATTGAAGAGGGGCTGCTGTTAAAGAAGAAATCTGGGAGTTATCTTGGCACAGCCTTGACACAAACTGAAAAGCTCGCGCAGACCCTACTACTACCCTTGCTCGCGCCCTGCGGCTTTCCAGAGGAGCCAATCAGCTTGCAGCCCCAGCCGACTGCCGGCGCCCTCCAGCGGCCGGGGGCGGGAGCGCCGGAAAGACGCAGCCGACGTCAACCTACTCCGGGGCCGCTGGACAGTGGGAGAGGGAGAGGAAGTAGGAGGGAGAGGCAGAAGGAGGGACAGAGCAGGAAAGGCTGCGCCGGGCCCAGCCTGGGGATCCACCCTGGGACTCCCCACTTGTTATGTCGGTTTTGTTCTCCCCTCAGTTCCTGTCACCTGTGGGGTGGGATGCCTGGTGCGAGGGTCCTCAGAGAAACCTGTGGGTTACGCGGTGAACCTGCCCTTTGGTTTGTCGGAAAACGGTGGCAAGGCCGCACTGCCCTTTTAACTGTGGTCGCCAGCGCCACAGTGGCGTCGCCCTTTTAAGGCCGGCGGCAGCTGGGGTTCCGGGGGCGGGGTCTGTCTCCCTTTGGACTCCCGCAGCCGCGGGGCTGATTCATGCCGGGCTCGGGCGCCAAGCTCTGACGTTAGCGCCTGCGCAGGGCGCGGCCTCGCTCCCGATTGGCTGCTGTCGGGCTGCCCTCCCCCGCGCGCCACCCCTGGTTTCCCTCCCCGGGCCGCAGAAGAAACAGTGCCCTCTCCCTTCTTGACCCCTGGCCCTTCCCTCCCTCCTTCCCTCTCGCCGCCGTCGCTTCTGGCGCAGCCGCTCCCGGAGGAGCACCCGCCGCCAACGGTGATGGGGTCTCGGGCCTCCACGTTACTGCGGGACGAAGAGCTCGAGGAGATCAAGAAGGAGACTGGCTGTGAGTTCGGGTTGGGGGGTGGGAAGGCGGCCGGGCGTCTCCGGCCGGCCTCGGTACTGAGGACGAACGTCGCTGAGGTCTTGATCTGGGTGCGGTGACTTTGTTGGGAGGGTCCCGCGCAGCGCCCGGTGTTTTGGGTAACCGAAGGCTAGAGGACCTGTGCGTTCATCTGTAGCTTCCCGGAGCCGGGATGTGGTCCCTCTGGTGCTGTCTTGCCTCAGAAGCCCGAAATCTCGATCCAGCCGCAGAGCACAGACACCACCACTCTCCACTCTTGCCCACCCAAGTCCGCGAATTTTCTTTCTTTATCGTTCCTCTCATAGAGGAGGCACCTGAGCAGTAGGTAAAGGAGAAGCAAATCCAGGAAACCTGAATGGTTCCTGAAGAAAACGTAATACATTCCAGTGAGGTTTCTCAGCAAGGACCTAAAACTATTAAAATCACACGCAGGGAAGTATGAACTCAGAAAAAAAAAGATCGTATACCGGGGACTCGAGACCTGTAAGCAATCAGGAGTCTGAAAACCTGAGACTTTTTAATCTGAACCGTTGGAGAAAAGGCACGGGTATAGTGACCAGATTTTTAATGACATAATGAGGGCGTTTATCCTGTTTTCATACATACTGATTTCTGCCATGTTGCTGTATCTTATACAGTTGATATTGAAACTGGATGTACTCCAAAATCAGTGAGTTTGTACCAGGAACAGATTTAAATACACACACACACACACATGCTCTAGGTTCTTCTTTGTTATTCTGAAAGAAGGAGCAACGGGGTTTTAGGAATTCAGAAGCACTGAGAACACCATAGCTTTGAAAAGCCTTGATAAGGTAGGATACAATTGTATTGCTACCATGCTTTCTCGGTGATCCTTTGGACTCTTTGAGTTTTGTAAGCTGTGTCTCCACGATACTTGTCTTTGGCATCAAGTAACACAAAGGAAGTAGTGCCTAGGGATCACTGGGTGAACAGAATCCTAAGAGTTGTCCTGGCTGACTGACAAGTTCGGCTTCCTAGAGTGTTCAGGCTGGAAGCCTTAGCTAGCCCACCTCCTGCTGACTGACAAGTTGGCTTCCTAGAGTGTTCAGGCTGGAAGCCTTAGCTAGCCCACCTCCTGCCGCATTGGTTTCCCATACCCTGCTCACACCCACGGCTGCTAAGCTTCACCGAGATCTTTAACCACGCTGACCCACCTACTTAGCCAAGGTGATCCTTTTCTCAGTTTCAATTGAATGGCAGAAATCACTTAGCATTTTATAACTTTTATTTGACTACTCACCTTTATGGATATTTCGTGACCTATTCTGATTCCATGGCAGAAATACAGGCAACTGGATTTAGCAAGCATTTTACTACATTTTGTGGCCATGACCTCTGATCACACTTGGAAACATCATGACTTCTTTACACCTAGGATGACAGCCAGGTTAAAGCATCTGTGTTTAAAGAGTCACGTCATGAGGGAGTGTAGTGAGTGTGGCACAAGCCATTGTTTTGCTGTCCTTTGTTTTTTGACACAGGTCTTATTCTGTAGCCCAGACTTACTTAGAATTTACTACACAAACAGGGTCTGGTGATGCATATCTTTAATCCCAGCAGAAACAGGTGGATCTCTTGAGTTCAAGGCCAATCTGGTCTGCAACAAACAACAGTATAGCTAGGACTACACAGGGAAACCCTGTCTTTAGAGACAAGACAAAACAAACAAACAAAGTTTCTCTACATAGCCCAGGCTAATTTCAAACTCATGGCAGTCCTCCTGCCTCAGCTTCCTGGGTACTGGGATTATAAGTATGAGCCATCATGCCAACTGAGGGAAAGCTGTTTTGCTTCATAGTAAATGGCACAGTAATGTCATTCCAGTTTCTTTTCATAAGTCTTGGCTGTAGGGCTGAGTTATTTTACCTTGTGACTCATGGACAAACCCTAGGTCATCATGGGAGAACTATTATCCTGGTCACCCAAGAGTGATTCAAGTATGAGAATGATTGTCCCCAAAGCCCATGTATATATTGACTGGGAAGGCCCTAATGAAACAAGCCCTTACTGAAACTTTGTGGTGTCTGTTTAGTATTATGCTAGGTGTTCAAAGCAGATGGTGACAGAAGACACCCACAACCTGGCTGGGGACATAAGCAAAAAAGTTCTGATTGGCGCCAGGACATAAGGAAGCCCAAATCCTGCAGCACCCACCTTCAGAACTTAGGGAAGAAAGTCACAAGCTGGCCTTTAGAGTATAGGAGTAGGATCTTGATGCAAAAATGGATTCATTTTGGATAAATTAACCTAGAGTGTCTCTGTGTCCCAGCAACTGTTAGCCCAGTCGGCTACTGGGTCAGTCCTCTACCCTCGGGGCTGGGTTGTGAGTTTATCTAAATAGTTTGCACCCTTAGCAGAGGCTTCTTTCCTTTCCTTTCCTTTTTTTTTTGGTTTTTCGAGACAAGGTTTCTCTGTAGCTTTGGAGCCTGTCCTGGAACTCGCTCTTGTAGACCAGGCTGGTCTCGAACTCACAGAGATCCGCCTGCCTCTGTCTCTGCCTCCTGAGTGCTGGGATTAAAGCCATCCGCGGCCCTTTCCGCCCTTTCCTTCTTTTTCTTTTTTCCTTTAACAGGTTCTCTTGTACCCGAGACTGGCCTCAAATTTAAGATCCTATTGCTTCAACCTCCCAAGTACTGGGATTACAAGTGTGTCAACTCCACAGAACGCCTTTAATCCCAGCACTCGGGAGGCAGAAGCAGGTGGATCTCTGAGTACAAGGCTTGCCTGGTCTACAGAGTGAGTTCTGGGACAGCCAGGACTATACAGAAAAACCCTGTTTTAAAAAACAAGCAAGCAAAAAAAAAAAAAAAGACCAGATGTAGAGGTAGAAACAGGTAGATCTCCAAGTTCCAGGCAGAACCATGGCTGTATAGTGAGACCCTGTCTCAAAAAGAAAGAAAAAAAAAAACACTTTGTTGTTGTAAAACACGTACTATATTTAGCCTTTGTTCTATCCCCCTTTTTTTTTTTCACATTTCTCCATTTTTATAAGTCAGTACATTTGAATGAATGATGTCGTTGGAGGGAGGTCACCACGTCTCTATCTTGTCTCTTACTGAATTGGTCAATACAGAAGTTTCTGTAATGACCCTTAGTTCACTTATCCAGAGGAACAGCCTGGCTGTGGATTGCCAAAAAGCTTTAACTTTGAGCAAAGGTTCATTCCAGCCAAATAGTGGTGAATGCAGATTGGTTATTTTTAGTTTCTGCCCTCTGGTGTGTGTCATGTGGGTATGGGCAGGGTGTTGAACAGGGTAGGAAGTGAGTTGGACCGACTGGTGAGGTTTTGTTTGTTTGGAAGGGTGTAGTGTATGAAGGGGGTGGGTTTCTCTAGTTCCAGAGGAGGACAACCGAGGGAGGCAGCTGCTTGAGAACATTTCTTGAAGCTGAGCTTCTGGGTGCTCCTGCCTCCTTCTGAGTCCCATCCTGTCCTCTCTCTGTCACCCCACATTGTCAGAAGATCTGTGTGGGCAGAGGAACCTCCTGTGTCCTGTTTCGTCTAACTGAGTTGGAAATGCACAGATAATACCTTATAGCAGATTGTGAATAATTTGTAAAGTTCTGTGCCCTTCTAGTTTTCTCCAGGATTCCTCTTTCTGGCTAGGTAGGTACCTCTTTCAAGGTAGGGTAGAGAACAGAACTCTGAAGGAGTAGAGCCTTATGAATGAGGAAGGGGCTCAGAGCACAGACTACTTGAAGTTTACATAGGTATTCACTGACCCTAGCAGCAGCTGCAGAGATAGGAGCTGTCTTTTGAGTTTAAGCAGAAAAACACTATGCTACAAAATAGTAATACTTATGTTAACCTGCAGTAAACACTATTACGGAGGAGCGTGAGCAGATACCTGAGGTTGTATGTCACATATCGTGACCTGGCCTGAATGCATCAGATTCAAAAGATTAGAATTCATACCAGATGTGGTAGCTTATTTTATGCCTGTAACCCCAGCACTAGGGTTCTGAGTTCAAGGCCAGACTAGACTCCATAGCAAGATACTGTCTTTTGCTCAGTTGGCTCCTCTGGTAAAGGTGCTTGCCAGCAGCCCTGATGTCCCAGTTTTGATTCCTAGGACCCACATGGTGGAAACTCTGCCAAATTGTCATGTGTAGACTGTGGCACAAATGCATGTGGACATGTGTGTGCATACATACACATAACTCTAATTTTTAAAATAAAAAAGGGTCAGAGAGGTGGCTCAGCAATTAAGAGTGCTCGCCATTCTTACAGAGGAC